GGCCCATCAGGACTATTTTAAGTACTTTGTGTGTATGTATTCATTTAAGCCTAACAAATATATTTAAAATATTCTATTTATAGTCCCATTTCATAAATGAGGAAACTGAAGTGCTGAGAGCTAAGTAGATTGCCTGCAGTCAAACAGCCTACAAGTGGCAGAACTGGGATTCAAACACAGGCTGCCTGGCTATAGAATTCATACTCCTAATCACTGTATTTTCTATAATCTCTCTAATCTCCGTGATAATAATAACAAAAATAACTACCACTATCATAGGATTCCTTCGGTGCCACTTTGTCAGCCAGAAATCTCTGCAGCCACTATGACCTCTGCCCGAGGTCTCAGGCCGCCAGGCCCACTCCACTCACTCAGCCCAGTAGGTTACACTCAGCTTGTCCCGCAGCCTGGATCCCGTGCCCGCCCGCTGCATCTGCCACAGCCCACGTCTGGACCAGGCATGTTGCAGCAGGCTTCCACCTTGGGCGCCAGCATCTGGATGACAGGAATGCAGTGGCACCCAAAAACTGGGAGATGCCAGCAACTGCAAAGCCCCAGGGATATTACAGCTGTCGCCCAGGGAGTCCCAAGGTCTGAGCCCCCAAGAAATGGGGGCTTTCTCTTTTTCCTGCCATTGGTAGCTTGGTGAATGGCAGTGTGTCACAGCTTGTTCATTCCCACTGCCTCGCAGTTCAGAGAAAGGAGGCATGTCACAGCTTGTTCAGTCCTGTGCCTGCAACTTGGCAAATGGGGGCATGTAACAGCCAGCAGTTTTTTCTCACTCCTGTAGCTCAGTGAGCAGGAGCATGTGTTACAGTAGTTTGGTGGGTTCCAGCTTCTTGTCCCACGACTAAGAGGAATGAGGTACACAGACACTGGAGAGTGAGCAAGGCAGAGAAAAATTTTGTTGAGCCACAGGAAACTCCAAACACCAGAGGGGACCCGAAGTGGGTAGCCCACTGTGTGAGAGGGCGCCCGAAAGTGGGTAGCCATCTGTGAGACTGAGTCCAGCGTTTATATGGGCTCAGAATGGGGGACCAATCCATGGGCGGGCCTGAAAAAAGCACCATTTAATTAGCTAAAAAGGCATCAAGGAGGTTCTCACTCAGCTCGTGGAGTCCACCCAGAACTGGCAGCTCAGTTTTCAGGCTTCAGGCTGTCTTTGGCGTGAAGGTCGGGTTTCACCAGGTACCTATCCCTGTCTGCCTAGGAATAGGTCTGTCTCCTGCTGCTATCACTACTAACATTATTAAATATTGACCAATAAGGAAGATATAATTATCACCTTCAATTTACCAAAGAAGAAAGCAAGGCCCAGAAAGTTGACGAACCTGCCCAAAATCACACAGAGACTAAATGGGAGACTACATCAGATCCTAGGGAGTCAGACTCCAGGGCCTATGGAATTTACCACCACTATAGTGGCTTCCAATTCAGCCATTTGACTTTGTGCTAGGAAACATTCCTGCATTGTTTATATTTTTCATTTATTTATTGCTTCCTGCCCCCACACCCCTAAAGCCATCTCTAGGTTTTAATCTCTGAGTAGGGACACAATCTCACCACATTCTTCATCTTAACCACACAAAGTTGAACTCTGTCCTTATTCCAACCAGTCTTTCTTTTCATACGCTTTTCAAATAGCAATAATAATAAACACTGGTTGTCTTCTGTGCTCCTGCTATGTGACAGACCCTCTGCTATTTTGCTTCTGTGATTCCAATTAATCCTCCAAGAAAGCCTGTTGGGTATGTTTTTAAGATTATCTTCACAGTACACATGAGGATACTGAGGCTCAGAAATGTTAAAAGCCTCCCCTAAGCCACACAGCCGAAGCTGCCAGAGCTAGGATTCCAGCCCATGGCTGTCAGATTGAGCATGACACTGAAATACCTCGGCCTCTTAAACATGTCTGTATATATGCGACTAGTAATCATGTGAGGAAAGGAACACATGGGAACAGTCACCAGGTTCCTAGGGCAGAAGGCTGTACAAAGGGGAGTATCCTTTCCTGTGGAGTATCAGGTGGCTGCTTGCAGCAAAGACCTGGAATGGTTGGCAAACAGCCTTGGACTACCCTGATAAGGTTCTTGATACTTTTGTTACGTTGTAGTGCAGAATCACACAGTTTTGCAGTTCAGAACTACTAACTATCTCATCCAGATGTGATCAGGCCCTAAGGAAATGATTGATAGGAACCTACACACAGGGGGCTGATTGGAACCTTGAAATACTTGCATATGAATTTACAGGACAAATAACCCCACAGGAAAGACCAGAATGTGAGACCTACTGACCAGACCTCCCCAAATGCTAGATCAGGAAGTTGGAAGATGCTTATTTTTCTGGCATATTCTCAGAAGATCCTGAAGACAAGAACCGGGTCAGTAAATTAGGGGCACTGCTGTGAAGCATGTCCTGTATCAGCCATTTTGTACCTGTGCAACCTTGGGGAAATGACTTAGCCTCTATGAACCTGAATCTTTTCCTTCATTAAATGTATCTACAATTAATTCCTCCTCAAAGTGTTATTGAAAAGATTAGAGATTTCTATAAAGCAGATGAAACATTATAAATCTCAGATGGTAATTACTGTCCCATATGTCTTCTATAGGCACCTGCCTGCCACCACCCCAACTGAAATATCCATGCTGCTTATTCAGATACCCTTTCTTTAAAATATTACTGGAGAAAAACCAATAATTCATTTTCATTTACTTTCATAATATCACACCAGAATAGAATTCCTGATTTTGCAAGTTCTTTTTTATCAGTGTCCTTTAGGCCAACAGCTTTCTGAGCACATTTCTAAGCACACTTTCTGAGAAGGTTTCCCAGGGAGCCTTCTCCAAGCCTTGCTGTAGGGTCCGTTTCATGGAACTTTCCTGTGGAGAAGCTGCTGTCTTCTGTGGGATGAGGATTCTTATTTCAGCATGTACCCCCAGAAAATAGCACTTACAGACTCATCTCCAGAGTGGTAATTTATATTATTTTAGCTACCTGTGCCTCTCTATCCTCTGAATACAGCACAATTTCCTCATATTCACTGGCATTAAGAGGTGGCAGCAAACTGTTATCCTTAATATCAAAAATCTGTCTCTGTAATGGGTTTAGAGGCAAGTCCCAAAGATTCAATCTTCTAAAGGATTAGAAAATCTAATATACAAAGAAAAGTGAAAGATACCAAGATGCTTTTTCTTATAAAGGCAAGAAACCAGCTATTCCTCACTGAAGAACAGAACACCAAAAAAAAAAAAAAAAACTATGCTGCAATAGAAGGGATTAAGAAAAATGTCTGACAATCTTGTTAAATGTGAATGAGTTCAATTGGGATATTGTTGACTCTCCTTTATTTGAAGACTTAAAAGATTTGGTTTAGACACACCTACTGGGGACAGTTTGGTGCAGTCCTAGATGTGTCCTTGCCCAAGGGCTGACAGATGGATTGAATGACCTCTCAGCATCCCTTCCAGCCTCACACTTCTGTTGTGCACTGATTGTTGGACTGGCATGTTAGCTGAGTCAGATTTGCCCTTGCAAGCCAGTGGAGGAGTCAGCTGCATGAAAGAAAACAGGTAGACTCTTTGTCCCCAAAATAAAAGCCTCTCTACCCTGTTCCAGACTAAATTGTATCATTAGAGGTTTATTTTCCTGAGTCACAAAGTATTTTTGGTCTTCTAGAGTTCCTCACAGAATGCAGGCACTGACACTTAAGTGAAGATAAAGTAACTAAACCTTATCAGATAAGGGCTTAGCAGAGATCAAGGCCCTGCAGCATCCTCCAAGACTGGAGATGCAGGAAGAGGGAGGCCCAGAGCAGTCAGGGGCAGACAGAGGCAGGACTGTGAAGACAAACGGTGCCTAATTAGAAATGATGCTCCAAGCTCCTGCAGAGATAGGGCTTTCCTCCCTTCCATCTGCGTTCCATCATGCCTTTGATGAAGGCCAAGCTCCTACCAGGCGCAGAGCACTGGCTAAGGCACTGGGGACACTATAGTAAGGAAACAGATGTGGCTTCTGCTCTCCTGCAAAATACTGAACACGTAGTGAATTACTAAATAGGGGGAGGTCTACACTCATGCAACAAATACTGAGTCGCTAATTTACGTAAGGCACTGTTCCAGGATGGGTGGCAACCAAATAGGCAAACCCTTCGCCCTCCCAGAGCTTACTTTCTGGCAAGAGGAAGTTACATCATGAAAGAAGCACCAGGTTCTCTAAGAGCTACGACAAGGAGATCTACCCTAGCAGCCAAGTCTTCCTTGAAAAGGGACGTTTATATTGATAAGTGAAGGCTGAGTAGGAATTGGAGAAAGGCATGTGTCGGAGGAAGAACAGGCATCTAGAGAATGTTCCATCTAGGCGGGGCGCCGTGGCTCACATGTTTAATCCCAGCACTTCAGGAGGCCAAGGAAAGTGGATCACTTGAGGTCAGGAGTTCAAGACAAGCCTGGCCAATATGATGAAACCCTGTCTCTACTAAAAAAAAAAAAAAAAAAAAAATACAAAAATTAGCTGGACCTGGTGGCATGCACCTATAATCCCAGCTACTTGGGAAGCTGAGGCAGGAGAATCGCTTAAACCCGGGAGGCGGAGATTGTGGGGAACTGAGATCACGCCGCTGCACTCCAGCCTGGGTGACAGAGAAAGACTCTGTCTCAAAAAAAAGAAAAAAGAAAGAAAAGAAAAAGACCAAGAATGAGAGACCGTTCCATTTTAAATTACCAAATACTCCCCAGCTACCACAGTGTTTTTGTGTGGTAGGATGAAGGGTGATTTATATCTTTTTTTCTTGTAGTTTTTCAACTATTTGCATGGCAAATAATTTTAAAACAATATCAAAATTATACCTAAAATTATTTTATCTCATTTTTACCTTGTAGCTTTAATATATTGGTCTTCAAACTATTACTTGCCAATTATGATCAAATTCTATATGGATATGATATAATTTGGAAACTCAAATTCAAGATAAAATAGTTTTACCCTGATGATGAAAGCGTTAAGTCTAATTCCAAAATATGTTTGGTTACTATATGCAAACAAAAGAATGTGTTTGACATCGTGACACAGATTTTCCCCCACTAAGTTGGACATGAATTATAGGTTGGTTCCTGCACTACAGGTGGACCTGTGGCAGCCCAGCAGTATCTCCTATGTATCAGAGGGAACAGTTACTGATGTCCATATCCCCCAAAACGGTTCCCGAGCCCTGTTAGCCTTCTTACAGGAAGCCAACATCCAGTACAAGTAAGCATTCCTTTTCACTTGCTATAAAATTTGTTTGTACTAAACTGAACCAAATGGTAGTTATATGTAGGTTATTTATCAAGCGCTTATGACAGTGTGTTTGGTACAATTTTTCATATGGGGAAAACTGACGTGAATATATTCACCTTGAAGAGCTTATTAGTCCAGTGGGGGATGGGAGCAACCATGTGGACCTTTCATTTCACTATTCACTGTTACCGCTAAGTGATCAGTGAAACAACAGACATTTTTCTGTGAAGAAAGGAGAGCAGCCTAGCAAGGCCTAGAGAGTGGATGAGAAGGCAGGAGTGGAAAAGGCTTTCTGCAGGAGCTATGCCAGCCAGACAGAGGCAGAGGGGACCACACAAGCAAAGGAAGAAGCAGCATATGAGTGCAGAGTGGTTAGTGTATGAAGTGCAAGTCAAAGGGCAGAAAGAAATAATGCTGGAGAAATAGGGAGTTCCAATGGTGGGAAATCTTATGTGCAGGGGCAGCAGCTCAGACTTTGTCTTGTGGGTGGTGCTGCCCCATTGCAAAGGAGGTGCATGCCACTGGGTGGAGGGGATAGGAAACACTAGTCCAGGGAAGAGGGAATGAGGCTCTGAGTAGGACCAGAGTAGTAGGATCATGAGAGCATTAAAAAAATATGTCAGAGCTGACTCTCCTCATGTTGGATGGTAAGTAGGAAAGGAAGAAGTGAAAGGATGACTCCAAGTTTTCTAGCTTGGGTAACTGAGTAGACAAACTTGAACAGATTTAGATATTTTGCGGGTTAGTTTAAAAAAAAAATGGTTAGAGGAGTAAGAAAAGAGCAGGTGGGGCCAGGTGCGGTGGCTGACACCTGTAATCCCAGACTTTGGGAGGCTGAGGTGGTCGGATCACCTGAGGTCAGGAGTTCAAGACCAGCCTGACCAACATGGTGAAACCCTGTCTCTACTAAAAATACAAAAATTAGCCAGGCATGGTGATGCACGCCTGTAATCCCAGCTACTCGGAGGGCTAAGCAGAAGAATCACTTGAACCCAGGAGGCGGAGGTTGCAGTGAGCTGAGATCGCACCACTGCACTCCAGCCTGGGCAACAGAGTGAGACCCTGTCTCAAAAAAAAAGAAAAGAGCAAGTAGAAGATAGTCAGAGGAGTTGAAGAAGAAAAGCAAGACTTTAAAGAAAGAGATGGCCGGGCGCGGTGGCTCAAGCCTGTAATCCCAGCACTTTGGGAGGCCGAGACGGGCGGATCACGAGGTCAGCAGATCGAGACCATCCTGGTTAACTCGGTGAAACCCCGTCTCTACTAAAAAATACAAAAAACTAGCCGGGCGAGGTGGCGGGCGCCTGTAGTCCCAGCTACTCGGGAGGCTGAGGCAGGAGAATGGCGTGAACCCGGGAGGCGGAGCTTGCAGTGAGCTGAGATCCGGCCACTGCACTCCAGCCTGGGTGACAGAGCGAGACTCCGTCTCAAAAAAAAAAAAAAAAAAAAAAAAGAAAGAGATGGGTCCAGAGCACCAAGTGCTGCAGTGATATCCAGCAAGCAAAGGACCAACCAGTTTCCTTTGGATCTGGCAATAGAAAGAACATTGATGACTCTAAAGGTGGATTAGAATGTTCGCACTAGAAGACATAGATGTGAACAGGAGGTGAGAACACACAGCAGCAGAGTCTATTCCTGTTCTTAGCAGTTAGAATAAGAGAAGCAGAGAATGAGAAGTGACTGGGAAGAGATGCATCACTGATGCCTACCTGGTAGATATGGGATTTGTTTGTGTAGGAGGGAAGTCTTGATGTATTTGTAGGCTGAGGGAAGAGCCTGTAGGGAGGAAGACATCCATGATGCCAGAGAGAATGTGCAGAAAGAAGTGTCTGAACAGCAGGAAGTATACCTCATTTTCTAAAACTAAAGAGAGAAATGTGGTGGATCTACTTAAGATTGTAGAGAGGAAAGTGGACACGTCAAAAAAGATTACAGCCAATGGCTAAATTTTCTGGATGAATGAAGAAGCAAAATTATCTACTGAAAGTAAGGAAGTAGGGGTTAAAGGGTATTACCAAAAGAAAAACTGGGGTATGAACAAAGAGAAGTGATTGTTGCAGAGAAGAGAGATTGTAACACTGATACAGAGTGGAGGTTCTGTTGGATAGGCCCATGGAAAGGTCAGGGTGGCAAGAAAGTTGAGGTCCTTAGTGAGATACTAGTTCAAGTATTCATCCCTGGGTCTAATATGGATTGGAAGGCAGGAGCATCTAGGAGGGATAAGGGGACCAAATGGAAGAATCAGGGAAGATATTAAGGTCTTTGTATTGAAAACAATGTAGTGTTACTGAGGGAAACAAATGGGAAGGAAAGAAGTTCTGACAAAATGTGAGTAGTTGGATGCTCAGAGTGCTAGGGTAGAATGTTTATGGCTGGTGACAAGATCCACAGGGTAGCCACAGAGATTATTGAAGGGGAGTGTTGTGTGGATATCTTTGAGGCTGGTGCAGTCAAGAACAGGTGACCTAAATCACCAGAGAATCATCTTGAATCTCCTTGGCTGATGGCAAGATTAGAGGACGAAGGAGAAAATGTACTTCTGGGGCAGGAACATCGAGGCAGAGCCAAGAGTTTGAGGAAAGCAGCAAGAAGTGGCATGATGTTGCAGAGAGAATGAGCGTTCCCTGGAAGCCAGAAGATTCATGGCATACAGGAGAATATGCTGACCTTCCTCCCTTCTACCCCACGGTAGGCAGGTGGAGAGGGAGACTGGGAATAGAAAGCCACAAAAGAATGTGTATCCTTTAAAGAGTCAAATGTCTGATGAGAAAAAAGAGTTCCCTGAAGAGGCTAGAGAATGTAAGAAGTTAATTTACAAAGGAAGGGAGACTCCAGCGGGCATAGGGAAAAGCAGGTGGAGAAGAGAAGGGACGTCAGTGGAAGATCTAGGAGAAGTGTAGTGTGGTGACTTAATGAGATGAGACAGAGAGGAAGGGAGTCACTTACCCTTTGCTGGGAATCCTAAGATTTTGGGGTTGAGAGGCATGAGTGTAAGTGACTACTCCACCTACCCAAACTTTTTAGCAAGTTGTTGTACTGTCAAAACTGGCACAGAGTTTGGGGGTCTGGGAGGGCCTGGGACCTAGGGTGGGCTGATGGCTCTGTGAGTTAATAGTGAGGGCCCAGGCTCTCTGGAGGGCTGAGCCAAGAGGTGCCAAATGGCAGTGACATCTCTGGTCCACACAGAGACTGCCCTGCGAGAAGGATATTTACAGCTTTATTAAAGTACTGATATGCTTTTTACAGAAAGGTATTTTATCTGTGCTTCTAGAATAGAATCACAGCTGTGCATAAAACTATTGTTCATACTGGACACATTTTAGTCATTGCTCTAGCTTTGAAGGCCTACTCTGATTCTCTGCCTGACAGGAAACAGCTTGGCAATTATATCTATAGGTGCTCAGTAACCGCTCACATGCTTCATTAATTACTATTCAGTAGAAAAGAATATACCAGTTAGTTTAACAAATCTCTATTTCCTGTCATTAAATATAGGTCATGTGGAACTGATATAGAATAAAATATCACACTTCATGTCACAGAGAATAAAGTCTAAAAAATGAGTGTTTTAAACCAGTTGCCTCTTCATGGAGAACAGTCATTTAGAATTATTCATTTCATTGGTCTCAAGATAATAACATATGAGTCAATTAAATTCCATGGGCCCAGTAGGTAGAGATCATTTTAATTGACTTTTAGTATTGTAGCCTGGAGTATTTTCAAAAGATTGTCATTTACTCTGTACGAGAATACATAATGTATAGCTATAGTGATTTTTAAAGTGGAGGTAATGTGACTCCATGTGTCCGGCCCCTAGGTGATCAGTTCCCCTCTAAGGAATGATTCATTCTACCATAAAACATTTTGATCATTCTATAAAGTAAATACCTGTAAAAGCTGGTGATGAAATTTCTATTTTTTGGCCAGGCGTGGTGGCTCACACCTGTAATCCCAGCACTTTGGGAAGCTGAGCTGGTGGATTACCTAAGGTTAGAAGTTTAAGACCAGCTTGGCCAACATGGTGAAACCTGGTCTCTACTGAAAATACAATTAGCCGGGCATGGTGGTGCGTGGCTATAATCCCAGCTACTTGGGAGGCTGAGACACAAGAATCACTTGAACTTGGGAGGTGGAGTTGCAGTGAGCCAAGTTCACACCACTGCACTCCAGCCTGGGTGACAGAGCAAGACTCCTCAAAAAAAAAAAAAAAAAAAAAAAATTCTATTTTTTGAGGGTCCCTCCCCACCCTGGAAACTTTGAGGAGGTGGTTTTGTACTGAGTAATGGCATCACTCAGAAAGTTTATAATAGTTCTAGTCACCATTACAGGAATATACACAACTGGAGTAGGAATCATCACAGGCTGAGAAGAAGTAAGAAACTACAACAGCTTACAAAGACCATTCTGAGACTCCATTTCATAGGTTTGTCATGGATATGCTAGTTTCTAGTCAACTACTTAACAAGGAAAATGGGACTTGACCTCCAGTGTCACAATTATTTTTTAATTTAAGGCTGATCTAGGGCCTGCATTTGGGTGCCATGTAAGTTACTGAACAGAGACCTGGGTTGGTTTGCTGGGGCCACCATAACAAAGTACCACAAAATTTAACAATTGGAAATTCAGAAGGAGATTCTAGTATAGATTTCTGCCTTTGGCAAATCCATCTACATTTTTTTTCCCTTAGTTTCTTGGGATCAAAAAAAGTAGCCAGGAGAAATAATAGATGATCTTGGTGAGGGAAACATACCTGAAGGTTCCCTGCAGTATTGGAATACGTTGACAATTTGTAACCACCCCAGCCCTAGTCAAACTCGCATCCCTCTTGACCATCCCAGATTCTCTCCTAACACAAGGAAGTTAGAAAATTGACATGGAGGTTCATTTGGCTCAAGACTTACCTTAGCAATATTGTAAAATTCTTTAACCCATACAAGCCTAATCATCTGTAGCTTCTTAGTTTGAGGGTAAAAAAGAAAGCACTAATACAGATGGTGTTCAAACCAACAACAACCTCCCATTCACATTTTGAGCCACTGCAAGCAGCCGTCAGGGACTTAACCAAGCTTTGAACCTCCTCACCTTACCTTGATTTCTAAAATGTTTTCAATTTTAAAATCAAAAATAGAAACAAAAAAAGCAGTAAGCCAATGATCAATTCCTGATTAAGTGCTTTGTCCATAGTAGGTGCTCAATAAATAACAAATAAATAAATGAAAAAGAATGTCCTATACCCAGTATGACCCTAAGTTAATTTACTTCCTTCACAGAATGGAAAATATTTCTTTAGGTGATTCAAGATAATTTTTAAAAATAATTTTTAAAACAATATTAAAGGCTTTAAATAACTTTCAGCCTTGAAAGTTATTTCAAGATGCCATTATATGTTCTTTTAATAGCACTTAAACCATTAAACAACAGGTTCTTTTGGAAAATAAAATACGAAAGCAAAGCTTTTTAGCCACCTGCCAGGCCCAGTAAAATCACTGGGAGGCTTTCTAACATCTTTAAGTAATGCAAATGACTGAAGTGCTTTGCTACCGTGTGGAACTCTAGTTAGTGGAGGCTGGTGAGCATTGAGAAGACAGGCCTGTATTTATCTGACTCACATGTCACATCAAGAACACTAATGACTCCACCTGGAGCTGGTTCCACAAAGCCTGAAGTCTCCCGCCCTGGCCTCAGCCTTTAATTTCCAAATGCATTCACTATAATTGGCTGAGCTTCTCTTCTCTTGGCATTCTTGACACTGGCAGGTAGTGAAATCACTTTTTCCAACTCTGGGTATTTCCAACTCTGGGTATTTCTTCAGTTTCCTCTTGAGCTTCTTTTCCCCTTTCCCTTTTCTCTCTGTCTTGGGTCAGGGGTGCTGGGTAGTGACGTGAGCACAGTCTCTTGGTGATGGAAGGGATGTGCGCAGGAAGAAGTAGCAGGAAAAAGAAGGTGGTGAGGGCACGGAAGAGAAGCCTAGGCTCAGTTTTCATGAAATGACCCTGGACCTAGAATCTCAAGACTGGAATTTGGGTTCACCTTCCAAGTTCAAATTCTGGCATGGCACTGACCAGAAAAGTGATATTGGTGAGTTCTTAACCCTTTTGAGACTCAGTTTCCCCATTTTAAAAATACCAATAACAAGAAAATCTACCACATAGACTATAGGGCTATTAACTAAGATTTTGTACATAAAATACATAGCACAGTGCCTGGCTGCTGGTAGGTAAGTAGTACTCAGTAAATCTAAGCGCTCATAGCCATCATTCGGTTGTTGTGGCTGTGAATCAACAGCTATTGTTACTACTACTGTCACTGGAGGACATCTGCCTATAATTTTACACTTTAAATTCATTACACCACTTATGTAACAGTTTTCATTTCCTGAAAAATAACATTTTCCCAACATTTGGTATTTTTAGAAATATTGATCACCACAGTCTTTCTTTACATAGATGCGTATGATTTTCTTTGGATGTTGCCTGATTTTTGCAATATCTCAATTTACTTTTCATCATGTCTGTCGTTCCAAATCCAGGATCCTCATAGAAGATCTTCAGAAAACACTAGAGAAGGGAAGCAACTTGCAAACCCAGAGAAACCGAAGATCCCTCTCTGGATATAATTACGAAGTTTATCACTCCTTAGAAGAGGTATGTAATCAAAAGAGCTTTTTCTGGTTTTTTACAGAGGTGTCTTTATCATTTAGGTCTAAGGGAGAAAATGATGTGCTTTATGCTTCTGGGGGAGAAGCATAAAGACAGAGAAGGTACTATGTGAAGAATAGGTGTAGCTTTTAAATGGCCCAGGCACCTTATCTCTTCTATTAAGTCTTTGATGGTATCTAAGAAGTATCAAAATAATTTTAATTTCACTTGTTTTACCCATACCACTTTTACATAGGATGTAGGAAGTGCAATGAAAGAGTGGGGAAATGTTGCTATAATTATAGCTATAATGGCCTCCACTAAGAAGTCAAGAAATGTAAAGCTAACCAGAGTTTAAGAAAATGATGAGTAGAGTGGACCTTACTTGCACCCTCTGCAAAGTTGAGAACTCTCAAAGGCAAAGCTTCATTTGTGGCACCTCTGCACCTTTGAACATGCATTTTTATCCTACCTGGAGAACTGACAGCCCCCTCATCCACACTGCCTCATCCTTTACTGTTCACCTGGACAGCTTGTTGTTCTGCAAATCTCAGCTTAAGCAAAAAGGTAGCTGTTCCTGTTCTCCTATATTGGATTTAAACCCCTCCTCCACCAACACCCAGTGAATTACATGCCCCCGTAGCACAGGGAAAGGCATTAATAAAATAATCACATAATTACATAATTAAAAACTATCACAGTATGTGATTATTTTATTAATGCCTTTCACCCCTAATAAGCTACAAGTTCCATGAAGGCAGGCCATTTCTTTCTTATTCACCACTATAACCCCAGTGGCAGGCAAATAGAGACCTCCAAATACATAGTTGTTGACAGAGGAATAAATGAATGAATCATACATTTTCCATGCTTCCTCTGAATTGAACAAAGGAATGCCAGACATAAAATAAATGAGATGCTACTCTCTTCTTAAGACGGTTTTTGGTTCTCTTGATGACAACTCTCCTTTCAAAATTATCTTCACATATTTCATGTCTCAACGTGTTTTGAAGCTTAGAAGCAATAGAAAGGTTTTAGATAACTTTGCACACAGAAGTACTGCTAACATGCACGAAAAAAAGGTCAAATTTTACAAATATAATATAGATATGCATAATGTATGTGTATATACACACACACAAACATCCTGCTCATTAGATTAAATACGAATAGAAAGAAAAGAATGTATGGGCACTTTCCTGAATATATTTAGCTATTTTTTTCAACGTCGATCCTTTTATACCATAAAATGGTAGGACACTTTTGTGGTTTTTTTTATACCTTATAAGGCTTTTAAGTCAGGAATGAAGCACATTATTCATTCAAATGTATCTTTTCCTGATGACAGGTAAGTGTATATGAATGGATCAATGCAAATGTGTCACTATCACTGGAGAAATTATTCAGAGTTTGCCCTCTGATGTGTAGCTCAGTAGAAGAACCTTTTAATGAAAAAAGATAATGCCTTTTTCTTAGCATCCTCTGTTCAGTGGCAAATTGTAATATATGGGACTTTAAGGAACACTTTCAAGTAGTTTGGACAGTTTTCCTAAAGTTGATTTATTTCTTTCCCTCTTAAATACTTGTGGAAAATAGAAATAAATTCTGATTTTCAAAAAGAAACCAGAACACATCAATTTTTAATAAAAATTTGTAACTAGTATATTAATGATATATGGTGGATAATGGAAGAACAATATAAAGCCATAAGCTACTATCTGTAAAGGCAGAAAATTAAATGTAATTTTAAGTATCCCAAAGAAAATTAAAAATAGAAAGTAGGTTTTTGTTCAATTTTATATTCCATGTGCACTCCTTGAATTCTAAGACCTACTGTTGTCTTTTTGTTTCCTTTTATTCTCTAGAAGCTCCATTATTGTGAGAGAGTCTAACATAGTTTTTATTTATTTGCTCTTAGATTCAAAATTGGATGCATCATCTGAATAAAACTCACTCAGACCTCATTCACATGTTCTCTATTGGAAGATCATACGAGGGAAGATCTCTTTTTATTTTAAAGGTAAAAATAAGCAATTGCTATGTAAATACATAATATTTACCAAATATTCATCTTTTTCAACTTTGACTTATGTGGAAAAGAAATGAAGTGATCTTTTATAGAGTCTCATATTTAACATTATCTGATAATCTCAGAAATATTTTCCCTTAGGTTTCTGAGCCATATTTCATTTTTGCCATTGGATATTCCAGAGAATACTGTTGCTAACATTTTCACTTATCGATGCGAAGTATTTGTGAGTTGGTGCTGCTTAAGATGAACCAACGCAAAACTATATAAATGTGTAAGAAACTGATATGGTTTGGCTCTGTGTCCCCACCCAAATCTCACATCAAATTGTAATTTCCAATGTTGCGGGAGGAACCTGGTGGGAGGTTATTGAATCATGAGGGCAGATTTCCCCCTGCTCTTCTTGTGATAGTGAGGGAGTTCTCATGAGATCTGGTTGTTTAAAAGTGTGTAGCCCTTCCCCCTTCACTCTCTTCCTCCTGCTCCACCATGTAAGATGTGCATCCTTCCTCTCCGCCTTCCGCCGTGACTCTAAGTTTCCTGAGGCCTCCCCAGCCGTGCTTCCTGTACAGCCTGCAGGACTCTGAGCCAATTAAACCTCTTTTATTTGTAACTACCCAGTTTCAGGTAGTTCTTTATAGCGACATGAGTACTAACTAATGCAGAAGCTACGCATTATTCTCATTCATCTCTTGACCCTGAATTCTCTTCTGTCTACTGACCTATAGCTCTCCATTCTTTCTCAGCCAAACTTCTAAAAAGACTGACCTCTAATCACCATCTCTATTTCCTCTCCTATCATTCAGACTTTGACTCACCAGCCTTTGCCCCCACAGCTCTTCTAAAACTTCTTTCCAAGGCCAGCAGCCACTCCTAGTTGATTCTCCTCCTGTCTCTCTGACCATCTGGGTCTCACTCACTGGCTCCTTTCCCCTTGTTCTTTCTTAGGTTCAGGTAATCCCTGAGACTCTATCCTCAGCCCTACTTTCATACCACAAACACTCTCTAGATAGACACAGCTAGCCCATAATTTCAGCAGTCATCCCAGACCTCTGTATCCATTGCAGTCCACCCTCTGGAACCTTAAATTCACCCCCATTGCCTACTTGACACTCTTCCCTGGATATTCAGAAAAGCACCTCAGATTCAGAATGGCATCCCTCTCCTCCCAATTCAGAAACATGGGCATCATCCTAAATTCCTCTTCTTTAACTATTCACTTTAAATTACCACCAAAAGCTGACCATTTTTTCTTCTGAATATTTCAGATCTGCCCCAGTTGCTTCTCTTGTTCTCATAGCTATTACCCTGACTTCTCTCTGTGTCTGTTCTCCCTGGACTATTGCAGTAGTTGCCTCACTGCTGAGCTTCCTTGGAGCCCCCATTCTTGACCCTCTCATGCTCTAATCCATCCTCCACACACAATATGAGCCCTCAAACATGAGCAAGCAAAAACACACACACACACACACACACACACACACACATACACACACACACAGCCCGCCATAGAATACAGGAGGAAGCTCATCTCCTTTATTTAGTATCCAGGGAATCCACGTTGAGCTTTATCTGCTGTTCCTTCCTCAAACTGCAGGCACAGTTCCTCCAATATGGTGTGCTCAGATTCTCTTCCAGGATTGACATGCCTTCCTCCAACTTGTCTGCCAAACAAGCTTTATGTCTTGCTGAAATACTCAAGTGCTCCTCTTCTGAGAAGCCACCTTTTATTACTTAGGAAAATTCAACATAACACTCTTATGTTCCCATGGTAACTTATAGATATTTACATCATAATTGTTGATTGATTGCTTACATGTTTGCCCTCCCCACTAGCATATAAATTCCTTGTCTGTTCATGTTTGAATCTCCAGTACTGAGCACAATGTCTGGCATTAAAAAGGATTTCCTGAAATATTCGTGGAGTGAATTATTGAATGAATGAAAATTAGATCGCCTGTAATTATAATGATAGAAGCTCCTATTGATTTCTTGGCTAGCAACCAGGTTAAAAGTAATATTGATATAGTTGGATTGTAAAGAAAAATCTGCCACTTGATTCTAGAAACCAAGTTGTTTTATGTTTTCATTTCATGGTATAATAAAATTTGACTTTATCCACCTATAAAATATAGCTATTATTTAAGAACTATTCCTTGGGATGGAGAGAGAAAGGGGATGAGGGAGGACTTAGCTTTTCACTTAACAGTCACATACTATATTACAATGAAGAAGCAGGCTGAGCCAGGAGGATTGCAAGAGACCAGGAGTTCAAGACCAGCCTTGGCAACATAGCAAGAACTCATCTCTTAAAAATTAATTAATTAATTAAAATAAAAAATTTTTAAAAATAAAGAAGCAACCTATTTTAGGGATTTTCCTTTCCCTTTTGTGCTTTCTGGTTCTTTTATTATAATTAGGACAATAAATGTATTGTTTCTGCATAAACAAGCCTGGACTTTCGAGATAGATAGGAACTCTCTTTGTCCTTTTTATGCGTTACCTAATGAACCACACTATAATGAAGAATTATGCTGAAACCTTATTAAATTATGCTGGTCAGTGAATCTAAAAGCCTGAGTTGGTTACTGTGAATGCTCTTGTTTTCAGCTGGGCAGACGTTCACGACTCAAAAGAGCTGTTTGGATAGACTGTGGTATTCATGCCAGAGAATGGATCGGTCCTGCCTTTTGTCAGTGGTTTGTAAAAGAAGTAAGTTAAACCCTTTACACAATGTCCATTTCAGCTAGTCAGTGCTTCCCTGTGTTTTTATTCTGCTTAACAAATGAAGTGGGAATTTGAAACCAATGATACCTGATTGAATAACAGTAACACCTTGATTCCATGGGCTACTTTCATGTTTATGAAGACCTCTTGTAACCCTGGCTCAGCTTATCCTCACCTGTGCCCATGGAAGTGGGAATTGGCAGCTCTCATTACAGAGAAAGAAACTGAAGTTCAGAGCCTTTTTGAATTTGTGACAAATTAGGAACTAACCTAGCAATGCATATATGGCACAGCTAAAAACCCAATCTGTGGTGTTCCAAATAATTTCTTACAAGATATCCAGCTCAGAAAGTTCTACATTACTTGACTTCCTCCTCAAAATCATTCCACATATGCTCTAACAATAAAGAGATGAACAAGGGGTTGCTTGTGCCCTCCTGCTATAGGTCTATAATTTAGATACCAGAAGACCTTTAGCATCTGTGGATTTAACATTCTTAGTTTCAGTTATTTTTCAGTAACCCTAATCGTTGATGACTCATAGTGATTTCTCATTTTCTTAATGCTTCATTTGAGTCACAGGCCCTCTGAGCTAGTGCATTGAGTGGGTCCCTATCCCAAGAGTGGGCCAGCCTTTTGTGCCAACACTTTTGTATGTTCTGATACTTTTCTATTCATTGTCAAGGATGTAGTATCTTTCATGGTTTTTTTTTTTTTAACCTTGACTTTTAGTTTTGGGAGTTGAGGGGTGACTAATACTGGTAATGAAAGTGAAAGTCGAAGGATATGAAGGGTCTTAGCCACAAAACAACTCGACAAATTTTTTAGCCCTGTACTTATAGAAAACCATTAAAGACACAAAGGATATTTAAATGTATCAGTTATATTTTACCGTGTTTTATGGGGAAATTATGTGCTGTAGTGGAATTTGTAACTTTGAAAACTCTCCTAGGTCTTAGAAAACATAGCTCACAAATGTCAAGAATGTACTGAATTTACAAAATGTCTCTCTGGCACTACCAAAACCACAAAAGTATGCTTAATCTTATAAGTATTGAGGAATAAAATTTTCTAAACATTCCTACTCAGTTTATTGAGTAATTTGCATTCTCTTAAAACCCTATTTCATCCTGCTAGGACAAATGCAAAAGCTAATAAGAAATTAACTCTATTACATTGCATCAAATACCCAATGTATACATATCAACATGTTGTCTGCTATTTCAGGTTTAAAAAAAAAAAGAAATAGTTAAGTACAGAACATCTGTTGTTGACAGGATATGGTCGTGTAGATTATTGAAGAACACGAGAATGTATCTCCCTAGCATTCCAGCTAAAGTTTTCCCTCACCCCCAACATATGCAACCTTTTCTTTATAACATCTAAATTTACTTTGTCTATTATATGGTTATCATCTTATTCCTGTACCAACTCCTACAAGAGAAACTGCATCCATCTTGTTCACTGCTAAATCCCCAACATGTAGAAAAACACTTGGCACTTAATAGGTGTTCAAATATTTGTTAATGCACTGAAATGATGAGAATTCAGTGGCAATAATGTGGAAAGATTTCTGGATGATGACTTCTCAGATCTTCTCATAGGATATGAATGGTTCCATCTGGATTTTTATAGCATACAATCTGTGGAGCCATATACAGCAGCACTGTAACCTGGGCTACATTTCCAAGGAAGAGAAGGACAGTGTAACCACAGGTACACAGGAAAAGGAAGAGGCATGTGCAATGACTGTCAACTGAGGGCAGTTGATTTTGGAGCAAGAGCAAGAAGCAATTGAGATTAGGCTCCATTTCCACCGATACATTGTTGGGAGGAGAGGCTTTCCTCTCCATCCTCCTCCCTCCTGCATAGGGCCATCATGTGTGCAGAAGAGTGAGGCCATTCCTGTGCCTCTGCTACCTTTCCCACACCTCTTTCACTCCTCCAGATTATGGCTGCCATTTGCTCCTCCACTTTACCACTCCATTTTCTGTCTGAGCCATGGAAGCAACCAGAAATGAAACAAAGGAGGCCTAGAGGTCATTCACCCCAGTGTCACAGTCAAGGTGTCAGCTGGAGCCCTGGGCATGAGGACGTGTGGCTTCCTTGGGGGATGATGTGCTTCCAAGCTCACTCATATGGCTCGTGGTAAGCCTTAGGTCCTCATTGGCTGTGGGCCAGAGATATCAGCTCTTTGCCACATAAACTTCTTCCTAGGCCAGCTCAAAACATGGCACCTGGCTTCACTCAAAGCAGGTGAGAGTGAAAGCAAGAGAAAACAGGCCCCAGATGGAAACTACGGTTCTTTTGTAACCTAGTCTTAGAAGTGACCTCATATCACTTTTGCCATATTTTCTTCATTAGAAGTGAGTCACTTGGTCCAGCCCATACTCAAGAGGAAGGAATTATGCAGGGACAGATACTAAGAAGCAGGAATTGTTGGGGATCACATTAAAGTCTGCTTACCACTCCTTGATGAGATTTTCCACATAACCACTTACATCCTTATGCAAATGTGAACTGGAAGAAAACTTATCAGCCCTTCTAGGATCCTGATAGAACCTCAGATTGCATAGGTGTTATGTGCACACAGTTGGAAGTCAGGCAACCCCACACTGATGTCAGGGTAATGTCAGCTCTGCCACTTACTGTCTGTATTATCTTGGTATCAAGTCACTTAACCTTTCTGAGCCTCAGCAAAATGATGATAATGATAGTATGTAACACATTGGCTTATTGGGAGGATTAAATAATATACTGCATGTGTTCTCTCATAAGTGGGAGTTGAACAATGAGAACACATGGACACAGGGAGGGGAACATCACACACTGGGGCCTGTCGGGGGATGGGGGAAAAGAGGAGGGAGAGCATTAGAACAAATACCTAATGCATGCGGAGCTTAAACCTAGATAATCGGTTGATAGGCACAGCAAATCACCGTGGCACATGTAAACCTATGTAACAAACCTGCACGTTCAGCACATGTGTCCCAGAACTTAAAATAATAATAATAATAAAATAATGCATGCAAAAGACTTAACAGAATGTTTTGCATATAATAAACACTTAATAAAATCAATTATTATTACTATTAATCAGCAATTTGGTATTTTTAAATAACTAATGAAAAGGGAACAATTAAAAAGAAAATCAAGCCAGGCATGGTGGCTCACACCTGTAATTCCAGCACTTTGGGAGGCCGAGGCAGGAGGATCACTTGAGCCCAGGAATTTGAGATCAGCCTGGGCAACATAGTGAGACCCTGTCTCTACAAAAAAAAAAAAAAAAAATTTAATTAGCTCGGTGTAGTGGTGCATGCCTGTAGTCCCAGCTACTCCAAAGGCTGAGGAGGGAGAACCTGTTGAACTTAGGACATCAAGGCTGCAGTGAGCTGTGATGATGCCACTGCACTCCAGCCTGGGCAACAGAATGAGACCCTGTCTCCATAAATAAATAAATAAAAAGACTCTGGGAGGCCTAGGCAGGTGGGTCACTTGAGGTCAGGAGTTCAAGACCAGCCTGGCCAATATGGTCAAACCCTGTCTCTACTAAAATTACAAAAAATAGCTGGGTGTGGTGGCACACACCTGTAGTCCTGGGTACTCAGGAGGCTGAAGCAGGAGAATTCCTTGAACCTAGGGGGCAGAGGTTGCAGTGAGCCAAGATCATGCCACTACACTCCAGCCTGGGCAACAAAGTGAGACTCCATCTCAAAAATAAACAAATAAAAATAAATAAATAAATAAATAGAAATTTAAAAATCAAGGATATAAAGGAACTCAACAACACTGTCAACCAACAGGATCTAATAGACTGTACCCAACAACAGCAGAATATACTTTCAAGTGCCTATGGAACATATTCTAAAATATACCATATCCTCTTCCAAAACATAGACCTCAACAAATGTAAAATAATTGAAATCATAAGATGTGTTCTGTAACCACAGTGAAACCAAACTAGTAATTGATGGCAGAAAGATAACAGGAAAATCTCCAAACACTTGGAAATTAAACACATTTCTAAATGATCCATGGGTCAAAGATAAAATCTCAAGGGAAGTTTTGATAATACCTTGAACTGGATAAAAGTGAAAATACAACATATCAAAATGTGTGGGGCATAGCTAAAGCAGTGCTGAGAGGGAAATGTATAGCACTAAAGGTATACATTAGAAAAGAGGGAAAGTCTCAAAACAATAAGCTCTTCCTTCATTGACCTAGAAAAAATAGAAAATAAACCCAAAGCATGCAGAAGGAAGGAAATAATAGAAATAAGAGCAAAAATTAATGAAATTGAAAACAGAGTTATTAGAGAAAATCAATAACACAATAAGCTGACTGGAGTGCAGTAGCATGATCATGGCTCAATGCAGCCTTGATTTCCCAGGCCCAAGCAAACCTCTCACCTCAGCCTCCAGAGCAGTTGGGACCACAGGTGTGTGCCATCAATTCAGGCTAACTTTTTTAAATTATTTTTTGTATAGACAGGGTCTCCCTATGTTTCCCAAGGTTATCTCGAACTCCTAGGCTCAACTCCCACCTCAGCCTCCCAGAGTCCTGGGATTATAGGCATGAGCCATGCACCTGGCCTAGTTCTTTTAAAAGATAGATAAAATTGGCAAAGCTCTAGCGTGAGAGACAAAGAAAATAAGAAGATGCAAATTACCAATATCAGGAATGAAATGGAATATCACTACAAACTCTGAAGATATAAAAAAGGTTAATAAGGGAATACTGGGAATAATTCTACCCTTGTAAATTTGACAATGTAGACAAAATGAACCAATTAATTGAAAAACACTAACTACTACAACTTACCTATTAGAAAGTAGAGAATTTGAATATCCCTGTAACTATTACACATTTTAATTTATGATTTTTAAATGCTCCAAAAAGGAAATTTCAAGGCACAGAAGCTTTCACTGGAGAATTCTACCAAATGTTTAAAGAAGAATTAACACCAATTCAACACAGTCTTTTCA